AGGATGTCCATTATCACCATTCATGTTCAATATAGTTTTGAAAACATTAGCCACAGCAATGTTAGACAAAAGAAAGAAATAAAAGGAATAAAGATAGGAAAGGAATAAGTTAAACTGTCACTATTTGCTGACGACATGACACTCTACATAGAAGACCCAAAAAATTCTGCCAAAAGACTTCTAGACTTAATTGACACTTTCAGCAGAGTAGCTGGATACAAGGTCAACACTCAAAAATCAATAGTCTTCTTGTACACAAATAACAGACTCACTGAGAGAGAAATTAGGGAAATAATTCCCTTCACAACAACATCCAAAAAAATGAAGTATCTAGGAGACAATCTAAAGAAGGAAGCAAAAGACCACTACACTGAAAACTACAGTACCCTGAAAAACGAGATCAAACAGGATATAAGAAAATGGAAAGACGTCCCCTGCTCCTGTGTAGGAAGAAGCAACATAGTAAAAATGGCCATACTTCCAAAACTGCTATACAGATTCAATGTAATGCTGATTAAAATTCCAACACTATATCTCACAGAACTAGAGAAAACAATCCAAAAACTCATCTGGAACCAGAAAAGACCTAGAACAGCAAAAGCAATTCTAGGCAACAGAGACATGGCAGCAGGTATCACAATCCCCAATTTGATACCAAACTACAAAGCCACTGTGTTAAAAAAACAAAAGCATGGTACTGTCAAAGAAGCAAACCCAAGGATCAGTGGAATAGATTAGAAGATGCAGAAACAAATCCAGATGTACTCAGCTACCTCATCTTTGACAACGTAGCCAACCATCCTCAGTGGAGGAAAGATAGCCTCTTCAATAAATTGTGTAGGAAAAACTGGATTTCAACCTGCCAAAGATTAAAACTTGACCTGTATCTTTCACCATGCACTAATCTAAAATCTAAATTCTAAAGATCAAAATATAAAAACAGAAACACTAAACTTGCTGGAAGATAAGTTAGGCAGTACTCTTAAATACACTGACATAGGAGAAGACTTTTTGAACAAATCCTCAATAGCAAGAGAATAAGCACAAACAATCAGCAACCGGGATCTCATCTTATTAAAAAGCTTCTGCAAAGTAAATAAGGGAAAAGGAAAATAGTGAAACATGGAAACAAAGTCTTTATAAATAGGGAAGGGTGAAGGGGGTGAAGGGAACATGGAGGTATGGGGAAAAAATAAGAACCAAGACATATCATGTAAAGGTACAAGATCCCAAAGTTAAATGTAACTGTGTCATTTGCTTTAAATGTACCAATAAACTTAATGGAAAAAACAAAACAAACCAAAAAACTTCTGCACTGTGAAAGAAACCACCAACAGAGTTAAGAGACAGACTAAAATGTGGGAAAACAATTTTACCAGATGTTCCTCAGACAAAAGTCTACTATCTAGAATATATAAAGAATGCAAAAAAATTGGACCTCCCAAATAAGAAGACCCAATTCAAAAATGGGCCTTTGAAAGGAACAGACATTTGCCTCTCAGACAAACAAGTAAAAGCAGCAAAAATGTATATGAAAAAGTGTTCAACATCACTGGTTATTAGATAGATGCAGATGCAAACAGCACTGAGATTCCACCTCACGCCAGAAAGAATGGCTGCTATCAATAAATCAACCAATAACAAATTTTGGCGGGGTTGTGGGGAGAAAAGAACCCTTCTCCATTTTTGGTGGGAGTGCAGACTGGTGCAACCACTGTAGAAATCAATATGGAAATGCATCAAAAATTTAGAATTAGAGTTCCCATTGGACCCAGGTATTCCTCTGCTAGGTATCTTTCCAAAAGAATTAAAAGAATCATATCACAGTGATATATGTGTACCCATGCTTATAGCGGCACAGTTTGTAATAGCTAAAACTTAGAAACAGCCCAGTTGTCCATCATCTGGAGACTAGATAAAGAAAATATAGTTTTTCTATAAAACGTAGTACTATTCAGCCATAAAGAATGAGAAACTAGGGCCGGGGATTTAGCTCAGTGGTTCTGCCGCCTACCTCACAAGCACAAAGATCCGAGTTCGATCCCCGGTACCACAAAAAAAAAAAAAAAAAAAAAAAAAAAAAAAGAATGAGAAAGTACAGACATTTATAGTTAAATTGATGCATATTTAGGCCACACTCTTAAGTGAAATAAACAGGACACACATATGTGTAAATACCAAATAGTTTCTCTGGTCTGAAAAAGTAAAAGTGTAAATAAGGTTCAAATTGTATAACTGAAAATGTGAAATAGGAAGAGAAGGGCTAAAGAAGTAGGGGAAGTGGGAAGGGTTGGGAAAAGAAAGAAGGGAAAAGAAAAAAATATGAGAAAAGGAAAAAATCAAACACAGTCTTTGTAAATAGGGAAGGGTGGAGGGGTTGAAGGGAGGGCAGGGCAATGGGGAAAAAATAAGAACCAAGATACATCATGTAAATGTACAAGATCCCAATGATGAATATAACTGTATTGTATACCTAAAATGTACCAATAAACTTAATGAAAAAAATCATATGAGTTGAAATTAATTATGAGCAATACAAAAACAATAAAAGCAAATTTCTTTTAGCAAAGTCTGAACTGATTTCCGCACCTTTCAAACAGCAATTTTAGGTTATTTGCCATAGATGACCCTTCCCCAGAAGGGTTTCATTAGTTCCCTACTCTGGCATCTTATCGCATCAATTTTCCTTCTTCTTTGTATAATTTCTCCATCTCACTGGTTTCTAAAAAAAGCCTGGTATAAAAATTTTCAGCCCGCTCTATTCTAAAAAAATGATTTGTGACTAGTCTTTGAATTACTTCTCCAGCGAGTACTCAACGCACACACCTTCCAGGATCTCCCAGACCCTTTGCAATCTTGTTCCATCCGCTGCCTCTGTATTGTTCTTTCTGGCTTTCCTGCAGCTTAGAATATAGCACTGCCCTTTCTCCACTTGATCCAGTTCTGTGCGACCTTCAATTGCTCAGTTTAAGGAGCCCCTCCTCCAGAAACTATCCATTTCAGCTTCTCCCATGGCACTCCACAATTACACGCTCTACCCCTGCGGCTGGGCTCAGTGTTTCACGTGTACAGCTCGTAGCGGATGCCTACATTAGTGTGTTTCTGCCTACATCACTGCCTGTGAAGCCCATTCTTTGTTTCCTTTCCTAGTGCCAGACTGAAAATATGAAAAGAGATATTGGATCTTCACTGCCTTTGTATTCCTACTGCCTGCACAGTATCTAGAATAAGGTGGCCAGTAAGTAAATTCTTATTTATAAGTGTGGTTATTTTTTGTTTGTTTGTTTTTTTTGGTTCTGGGATTGAACTCGGAACCTTGTGCTTACGAGGCACATGCGGAACCACTGAGCTAAAGTAAATTCTTATTTAGAAGAAAGAAACTAGACAAAGTGACATGTCTAGCCTTGACCTTTCTCCTAGACTCCAGCTACGCAGTTTTCAACACTCTTTCTGGGAGGTCATGGTGGAGCACAGACTGCGTGAGGAAGTCAGCCTCAGCCCCACCTCTTCCTAGAGGCGTCACCTTGACAAATCACTTCATCTCTCTGTGCCTCAGTTTCTCTGTGAAATAAGGATGATGAGAATACCAACTCAAAGGTTTTCACGAGGGTTAAATGAAGTCATTGTTTAGAAAGTCTTAGAAAAGAAAGTAGTAAATAGTAAAAAGAGACTAAGTAACGTAAGTATTAAAAGAGAGTAATGACCATCTGAGTAGTACTCTGCTCGTTTAAATTTCACACATTCCAGATTGAACTGTCAGACCTATCAGTCTGCCATGTTAGCTCATAACCATTAATGGTATCTTTGAACTTATTTGAAGGTAAGGTCTTTACAGATGTAATCAAGTTTCAGTGAGGTCACTAGGGTGAGTCAGATCTAAATTAATTAGTGTCTCTGAAAAGAGAAAACCTGGACACACAGACATGCAGAGGGAAGATGAGGTGCAGAATTGGAAGGAGAAGACTGCTTCCTATAAGCCCAAGAATTCACCGGTCTAATGCAATTCTCTAAGTCATTCGCCAAACTTAAAAAGTCAAAGCTCTATATATGTGCACAACTGCTTCACTCTTTTTAGTGATCTATATTTTACTTCAAGATCCTATTACAAATTATATTACAGACTGCCAAAGAACTTCTGATACATTCTTTTTGTAATACATTCTTAATTTGAAGGCTCTTAGCTATAGTTTAGAAGTTAATGGAAGGATAGTAGCAGAGCAAGAAAAGAAGTATTAATCAAACAAATTCACCAAATTTAAAAACACTATGTGACAGTGTGTTAGGTCATCAACCAGTTCTAGTACTGTGTAAAATTAAAATTGGAAGGTGAAAATGAGTTCATAATCCTCTGCAAGGCAAGCACAAGCATGTTAAGACTATAGAGACATTGTAGCAACTGCTAGGAAGTTTTACTTGTGCTTCACCAAGTTTTAGGGCTTCTAACCAAATAGACACAGTAAAAAATTTGAGGATGCAGTATCATAAATTGTACAGTCGTCATCATTTTGAGAGTTCAAATACTTTTAATCACTTTTCTTGGTGCACAGAGTTCCCAGGGTAAAAGTAAATCTGCTAAAAGTTTTTGTAATAGTAACCATGGTTAAACAATCATAGAAGGACTCAGGTAAAGCTTTTCTTAAAAGTTCAGTTTTAACTTTCAAAAAAAATTGAGAATCAGTGAGCTGTACATTTGTGATTTCAATTTTGAACTTTCTGGGTTCATTTAGGTCAGTAACACCTTCAAACTCCCAGAAGACTTCTTAAAATTGCTCCAGCTATATGCTTAAATATATACTACATACAAACTTTCTCAGTGATTAACTGGCCAGTATGGGGTAAATGAGCAAGGAACTCCCAGTGCTGCCTCCATTAGTATTAATAAGAATTGTGCAGTTAATTCCCTTGCTCTGCTCCTCCAGTTCATCTCCATGAGGTCCATCCTTAAGTACTTAAATTTTGCACCCTCCTCCTACCTCCTACCCCATAACAGTATTACTTACCTCACTAATAAAGGACTTGGCTGTGCCAGGATTCATAACCAGGATGGCTCGCCTAAGAGTGTCTCGATAGCGATTCAATTCTTCGATTCTCATGGTGTCAAAGAGAGTAGTGATCATTTTATTGATGTTGTTTTCTACCTTTTGAAGTGCAACGTCCATTCCCTGGTGAGATACTTTGTCCAAAAATTCCTGTATGCCACGGATATCTAGAACAGCAAAAGCCGTCAAAGTGTGAGTGACAATGTAGAAGAGGAACAAAGGTACATTATAGTTTATTACTCAATACTGCAGGTTGTATATCTGATGGCACTCTAATAGCTTCATGGTTTGGCATGCTATAATATGTTCACATGAAAATGTAGGAATTATTTTTTTAATGGAGTTATTTCTGCCCAGTTAGTAATCTAAATGATTTCGATTCTGAATAATGTCGGGACAAGAAAAAGAAAGGGAAAAGGGATATCATTTTTCCTAAAGCAAAATATGAAAGAAGGAAAAATATTTCCCCTACTTTTCTTTATGTTGAAAAAATGATATAAATATCACCAAGGAAAGATGTGTCTGATTGATGATTAGTGCCATTTCTCAAAATAGGCAATAATAAAATCACTAAATCAAAAATTGAATAGTAAAATCTAAGTAGAAACAATATGCTTTCTTCAAAGGATTTGGGTCACTTAGACCAAAAGAAAAACAGCTGCATGTCTGTCTATTTTGCATTTCTGTTTATTAGTTCAGCTCTGAAAAACCTGGTAGGAGATAGTTTTCTTGTCTTAGGAATATAGAGAATGGAGGTAAAACAAATTTTATAAATACATTTCAGCATTTTAGAAATATTATACAACAGTTTTGAAAATACGATGACGTACAGTGTATTCACACGTGCATCTCCCAATCAGGAAAGTTCTGTAAAGTTATCAAATAAGAAAAGTAAGGGTTCATTTCACACTTAAATAAGGAAAGTAGTCCAGGCTAAAGCAAATGATCATGAATTTATACTTGAATGTATATTTGAGGTAATATGTGCTTAAGATTTTACCAATATGTATTTCTTGTGCCACAGTGGATATTTATAGAAGAGATGTGAGATAAGAAATGTCACTGGAAAGTATATCCGAGGCTGAGTTAGGGCTCTGAGCAGAAGCTTGCGGTCCGCGTCAGGCTATTGCCCAGCCACGGTGGCTCAGGCCTGCAATCCCGCGCTCGGAAGGCCGAAGCAGTTGAGCTAAAGGCCGAGGCCCAGCATCTGGAGGCATTTCACGCAATTCTGGAAACCCTGGAGGAACCAGAACAGGGGCAGCGAGACCTCAAGGCCGGCTGGAGACTGCAGGGGCCTGAACTTCCGTTGTGTTAAATACACCTCTCCAGGCAGGTGGGCGTCTCCCTGGGAGATCCCAAGACCAGATGAAGGTAAGGGCAACGAACTTCCTCAGGTGACATGAAATGCACGCCTGTCCCTACAAACGGGATGTGGAGTCATTCCCTACCAAGCTCCTTTATCTGAGGAAATCAAAATGCAAAGTAATCAATTTTTTTCCCCTCTAAAACTCCCCATTTCTTCGGGCATGGTGGCGCATATTAGAAAAACCAACACAGGGGAGGGTGAGGCAGGAGGATCACTGGGGAGGCCGAGGCAGGTGGATCCCTACAAGTTGAAGCTAGCTTGAACTACATAACAAGATTCTGTCTTAAAAAAAAATTAAAAACATCTCGAGTATTCTTTAAATTCTGTATGTTGGAGAGCTAGGTTAGAATCCTGAGTTACAACTGGTCATTTAAAATACCCAGAGTTACCTGTGATATGTGGCCACTGAAAAACTGAGCAATTCCTGTGCTCTGCTTATCTGTAATTAGCCCTGGATTGAGAGGCTGTGCAGCCACCCACTCAAGAACCAAACCCACTCAGGTAGCCCAGGAGCTATTTTTCTTATTTCCAATAAATCTCTCCTAACCTCCTCTTTTGCTCGGTGGTGTCATTCTCAATATTCGTGGCCTCATGAACTTGGTACGTAGGGTAACAGAAGCGGGGTTGACCCCAAGACCTTTGAACGGAGCTACATTCCCCAGCTCTGTTTATTTATTTATATTTTATTTTCTTATTCTTTTTGAGACAGAATTTGGCCGTGTAGTCCAGGCTGGCTTTTGTAGGGGCAGAGTATAGGGTCATTAAATCCCTGAAAACACAGATGACCAATGTTTTTAAATCATCACATGCTTATCTGTGGCTGATGATTTAAGATTATCACATGCTTATCGTGTACCATGTGCCTGGAAAATTTAGCCTGCTGTATCCTTTATAAAAGCATCACTTCCGTTTACTGTATTTACCTTGTCCCTTTCCCAGAAACAAAGGCCAAGACCCTGACTGGAATAGCCCACACCAATGAACAATGGTTTGCCCCTGTCAGTGTGGACAACATTCCATAGGGAATCCTGAGTGGGATGCCCCTGTCGTGCAGCACCACTGCTCTCCTAAGACAGCTCTCCTGTTTTCTCTGCATTACTGGTAAACACTTTAAATAAACTTTTGCTTTGCACTGTACCAAAAACAAAGCCCCCCGCAAAGTAGCATGACTAGAAGATAAGACTAAATCACTTAAATTCAATTAACTCTTACGACCTCAAAAATAAAACACCAGTGCACCTTCATATCTTAGCTTTGAGAAAGTTTGCTCCCCAAAAATATCCATTGAAAGTGGACACAACATTACAGTGAGGTGTACAACAATGCACCCATTCCTGCAAACAGATGGACAATTAACAACCAATCAAACTCAGAAATTCAAATCACGCCAGGTGCTTGAAAAGAAGTAGTAAGTATGCTCTTAAAGGTCATAACAGAGTAAGGAGCAAATCCACTGTGGTTAGAGCACCTGTAGAAGTTTTCTCTGGAAAATTTATGTTTAAACTGCGATCTAAAACACTACTCAGGGAAAGAAAATACCCCAAGACCGTGCAGCGCTTGTATTTGAGGTACCCAAAGGGATCCAGAGGGGCTGTGCCTAGACACAAAGCAGAGCTGAGGGAACCTGGAAGGAGAGGGCATCAGTTTATTTTGACCAGTGTCAAACACAGAAAGATTTTATTTTAAATACAGTTTTATTCTACTGAAAGTTTGAAGTACAGGGTCTGACATATGGGTGGAAAACTGTTTCCGGAATGGATGCAGTTTAAGTATGGAAGTAGGTTATAAGTTGACTTGTAAATCATTTCCCTCTTAATTAAAACAATAATACATTTTTTAACTTTTAGCTTTGATCAGAGATTAAGAAATGTCTGCATTGTGGTTTGATCAATGGACACCAAAGTGATGTGATAAAAGATCACTGTTATTCTTCTGCTTCTTTGCTCAGGAATTTTGGATGACACTTCCGAGATATGGAGATATGGTTGTAGAATTTATTAGAAAGTTTTCATAAAGATTAAATTAGGAAGGGTGCATGTGTGTGGGTAAAGAAAATCCAATGCAGTGTCTAGCCCATGTTAGTCTTATTGTTAAAAATAGTACAAAACTATTTAAGAGTCTATTGCTACTCTCACCAACAGGACATATTCCCTAATATTTAATGATGGCTAGTTCTCCAAAATACAAAGACTTTGGGGATGTAGGGCTCAAGCAATAGTAGCTTTGCTTATTTGAGAATGACATTAAATACTCACGATAAGTAGCAACTGGTAAAATGCAATGGAAGAAGAAAGTGAATCATTCTATTAGCTGCTCTGTGCAAAACGATCATTAAAAAAAGAGTAAGCCTTTGGTTTTGTTAATTAAACATGAACATAATCAACCATCATGATTATTCAGCTACATTATTTATACGCTGATTAGTTGGCAGTCAGCTAAGTTCCAAGAGTTACAGAAATAAAACAACGTGGTTCCTGACCAAAAGGAGCTACCAGGGTAGTAGCACCTGTGACTAGGTGCTATTTATTGATAATGAAGTTAAACTATAGTGTCTGTAGTTCCCAGCAAGTATTAATTGTACTGACCAGATAATTACATAACAGCAAGTGGTAGAAATTTCATTAAATGAGTTATTAAACATAAGGCTGGGGCTAGGACTATTTTTCTTATGTACCATAAAGAAAATTATGGTAAGCAGAATAATGCCCTCTCCTAAATACCAACATCCTAACTTTAGGAATATGCTAGGCTACATAGCAGAGAAGAATTAAAACTGAAGGTAAAATTAACACTGTTATTCAAATGACCTTAAAATGAGAAAAACATTGGCTCTAGGTGGATGTAGGACCTTTACATTTGGGAGAGACAAAGGGAACACAGACCCCTTCAGAATGGTTGGGACACTGAAATCTTTAGAGAGAAACAGTCCTGCTCATGGGAGGAAGGAGGTCATGAGTGAGGAAAGGTGGGGACCTCTAGAAGCTGGAAAAGGGAAAGACATAAATTCTCCTCTAGAGCTATCAGAAAAGAACACGGCCTTTACTGTAGGGTCCACTCTATTGATGATGCATGCACAAAGCAGGTTATGAGCAGTGCAGGCTGTAAAGAGATAGCCCTGCAATTAGCTTTTTTATAGAGTGAATTTTAAGTGTACATGCCAAGGTCAGAGTGACTCATACCCACATTCCATTCCCAGAGTTAAAACCTTTACTAGAAAGACAAAGTTAATCATGAGCCACAAACCTATAGTTTGTCTGTTCTTTTCCTAATTCAAGAATGCTTTGTCTCTTCCTTTACAAGCCTTGCGTGTTACATATCCATAGTCACTCCGCATAGCCCCTTCACCTCAATCTATCTATGATGTCTCCAGTAAATATTGATGGCCCCGGGTGTTCAGGGCTTTCCTTGTTCAAGCCTCTGACTGTTCAAGCATTGGACATGCTGCCTCCCTGTTTCTGCCTCTTTAATTCTGTTTCATGCTTTTCTTCTCGCCTTGTGTTGTAGCATTGAGCAGGAGATGGAAGGGGTCTCTGGTACTTGGCAACACCTTAATTTTAGCTCACGGAGAATCTGTGCCAGACTTGTGCTCTGTATGTGATATGCAACCTGTATTGTTTAAGCCTCTAATTATGTGATCACTTATTACCGTGGCAACAGAAACTAATGTAGAGCATTGCTTTAATTGTTGAGTCAGCAGTTTTCAAAATTTGATCCACTGACTTTCATTAGAATAATCAGAAAAACTTAAACGCTGAGTTAAATCCCACTTTTATGGACTGAGAAACTCAGTACAAAGCCCAG